CGATAACGTATTGTGTTCGCCGTCTGTTTTCAATAAATGGAAGTGTGTATTCTCCGTATAGTTTAATGTGCTCTGTGTAAAAAGCTACAAGTTAATAATTTATATAATATAATATATAAAAGGTACTATTATATTATTTATTTATTATGCTAAGATTTTTTTATCATATAAGATATTATTATATGATCATCAAAGATATCGCATAACGGCCCTATGACTGAATTAAGCCTTGCTTCAGCTTTATACACAGTGTATTTTTCGCAAAGTTCTATTTGTAACTAAATTCAACAATAATTAAAACATACATTTAATTGTTGTTAAAACATATATTATCATACTTGTATTTTGGTAATCATGCTTTTTATACTATGAAAGTATGATTTTAACAAATTCTATGCGTATTGTATAGTGTTACATGCGATAGAAGAGAAAGTGGGAGATACATAAAACATTTTATTACGGTATATATACTAATGTACACATGTCATCTTCTACGTCGAATATTTTAGGTAAGGCGACATTCGCCGCCAAAAAATATAAACCATACCTCTAGTTTATTCAAGAGAACATACTCATATATGTAAATACGTTATATACTGATTCACGAGATTGTTTGCCTGTAACATAATGACCCCTTCGATTTAGAAGCCTGAAATATGAACGTATAATTGGAAGTCGAGCGATATTCATTATTTTCCAATTATATTGCAGAATTTTAATAGCTTTGGATCGTTTTCTCGTATTATTTAAATTGCTATTTACTGATCACCTTAATTTGAATTCTTAAATAATTGTATATAGAATCGAAGTACGTATTGAATTAATAGTATATAATCTATCTATTTATACGCAAACACACCTATCTCCATATGCAAATGATATTATTAATATATATACTTATAAAAGTCACTCTGCTATCTTATTATTCTTTATAGTATTTTAGCTTACAAGTATGACTAAAACTGTAAATACGAGTAATATTTATTAATTTAATAATAATTATATATTTTTAGAAATATTATCTGTGTATTTCTACATGTTGCTGATCATATTGAATTATCTTATGCCAATTAATTTTCACCAATAGTAGATATTACTAAATTAAATTTGCTCATGATCCAAATATAATAAATCAATACTTTATAACTAAAACACAGTAGTTACTGTGTTATAGTTATACAGTACAAGTAAACAGATCTACATACCCATGAATAATTATGTATCTAGAGAACATACAGATAAAATACCATTAAAGTATTGGTTATATATGAGTTTTGATTTTTGACATTGCCTGATTAAAAAATATTTTTATATCTGCCAGTATGTAAGAATTTAGAAACGCTCTACGTCCTAATATTAAAATGAATTATTTATGCGCATATACTACATATTCAATTACTAAAAGCTTAGTGCAAGATACATTAAACAGAACATATGTATATGAGCAGTGAGCGGGCCCGCAGTGGTATGAGCACAAAAGGTCAAAGGTAATTGGCGTAGCCCGCTACGAGTCTTTGTTCTACGAGCTGTTGTCATCATGTGCCGTTACACTCGCTACAGGAGTTTCTAAAGCCAACTTTGACGTTACCTGACTATCTCAACTTACAATAAAGAGCTTGTGTAGGCTACTTTGATGTATGAATAATAATACCAGTAGCGATTTAATATTTAGCGTAGCAGTTACGTAGTCACTAATGCTACGTACTTATTATTACGGAATTAGCAATAAGTACGTAACTCGTAATTTAGTAATACCAGTGTAGCCGTAATAATAGTCAGGTTTTTTTATAGAAAGGTATCCAGCATATTTTAGCCTATCACAGTGATATTTCAAGAAACTAGATAGGTACATTTGTTTATTTTTTTGTATGGAATGGTAAATTACAAATATTGTGAAACTGCTATCATTTATAGAGTTGGGGGTATGAGTCTGAAATTTTTAATCATTATGTACATCTGTAGATTATAGTTAAGTTATAAGTAAATTTTTCATATATAATATATTAAAAATAGGATTTTTACTTATAATAACTCTTTTTCAATATTTTTTTGCAAGTTTAGGATAATTATTCCAAATTTCTTGCAGCTACTTGTAATAACCGCCAAGATTACAAGTAGCTGTAAGAAAAAGGGCAAGTGCTCTATAAATGAGCTAAATAATACTGTGACATAATTTCAAGTTTAGATAAAGAAAAAAAAGTTGTTTTCTTTATATCAATCTATATTATATGATAAAGTTCGCCTAGTACGGGTACCATCTTATCTACCAGTCGTCAGTTCCTTAGTTCAGATCAATACGCAGTTTGTCTCCATTCTGAGACTACATAAAGATTTCTTTCTCTTTCACTCTAACGTACCAGAATACGAAAAGTATACTATATTGTATTACTACGAAACATATTTTTTTACTTGACAGATTACCTACTCTATAATATTAGATATATGTATATTGAGCAATTCTCTTTAAGAGCGTCGGGTTTCACAGCCAGACAGAGTGGCACCGCTAGCAATAAGCTACATAGGTACCCTGTCTATGAATGGGAATTTGTATTACGATGGGGCAAATTAACATGAAGATCGGCAGGGGTATGTCATTAGTAGTTACTATAGTAATTTTAGAACATGAATGGAGAGAAGATTTACGGCAATATCAAAAATTTATCATATGAATTAAGTCTCTGATCTGTACGTGTTGAAATATCAAGTTGTAGATAAATTACGTAATGTGCATCCTTGGTTTTTTAATGCCGGTATTTTATAATTAAATATATAATATAATGTATAATACTGCCATTACATAATCAAACTAGTAAACTATTAGTTCAATTGTTATCTTTAGTTTTTAAATAGCGTATTTTGTGTAATGAGATTTCACATTAAATTACAATTTGCGTAATTAATAGTAATGTTTTCTAAAATTGAGTTACGGATTTGTACAAAATACCTACTTATCTAACACTTGTAAGTAAGTATATTATGTTACGAGTTACGAGATAACTGAGAGATACTTATCCTCTATTAGACGTAAATAAAGACACCACAGATGTTAAATTGAGACATTTTTTCGCGGAATAATTAGTTTTGTTGAATATTTATTAATTCATTATTAAGTAGGTATTTGGCATTGTACGACAATAGATACTCGACTATTCACTAATATTTTTACGACCTGGGAGACAACATGTTTATTTGTTTTGTAACGCAAGTGCAATGAATGTCGTCTCTATTATTAGATTAGGGTCGATCCGCTGAAGGCTTGATAAGCTCGGGTCGCAGGGCGCGCCACGCGATCCAGTAATCGATTGCCGCTCCACGTACTGACTACTCTCATTTCTCTTGATGTTCTCTAAACAAATATTAACTCATCCCTCTCCGCTGTCGGCAGCTTATTTATCTTATTGGTATAATAAATGTGAGAGTACGTAGATATGTTTAGATATTTACCACTCAGTCACTCATAACGGTTTTAAGCATTTGAATGAAATAATGTATTAGCTTGTATAAGTTTATTGTGAATAGAATAACAATATGATGATGAATATGGATATTCTGTGGAAGCTATGTATAATATTAGATTAAAGAACGCATCAAATAATACATCAAGTTATAAATTAGATTCTTTTATTATTTTACGTACCTAGGATGAATGAGAGTTTATGTAAAAAATAATAAAATAAAATATGGATCTATAAAGTATATGTATCTTATAAACCCAGCTCAAGACATACTTCTAGAGACGATAACATTTTCAGGGAGTTCGTGAGACTCATGTATCGATCCACCGTTGCTACATGACATGAATTATTAATGGCCAATAGTATCAAAAGTTCAACATCAAAGTGGTGTGTATTCTATCGATATAAGGCTGTCTATGAATGAATATCTTTATTTGTAATGACGTATTTTTATTTATATGTCTTCAAAAACAAATAAGTTCTATGTACATCTGTTGGAAGTAGTATCAAACATTAAACATGAAAGTGATGTGTATTCTATCGATATAAGGCTATCTATGAATGAAGGCCTTTATTTTTTATTACGTATTTTTATTTATATTTCTTCAACAGGCAAATAAGTTTTACGTACACCTGTTGGAAGTAGTAACAGTTCACCATGAACAAGAATAGTACCACATAGAATACTTCATAGAATACGCAATTCCTACCCATCAGAACTGAAAATAACTTCTTGACTATAGAAATCATTGAAACAGGGCCACCTATCGTAGGACTTCGTACAGAGTTATTGAAAATTTACATCTTTTCTCTTGTTGTCTAGTCTTGTCGTCGTTAAGACAGATAGAAATACGTAGTCGTTAGAAAGTCATACATTGCTCTATTAGAAGTTCTAGAGGTCGAAAGTTCAAGGACGTTATTAATAGACTGAATGAATTTTCTCGCTCAGGCGAAATGATATATTTATAATGTGAGAGACAGGGTCGCTAATTGATTTATTTTTAGCTTAGCTTAGTAGAACATATGTTACGCTCAGTGTCGTGCTGGTTTAGTTTTATTATAGTAAAAGTAAGAGTGATATATATTATATATGGGTTATATACCAGTTCATTTGTTATATAGATAGATAGCTTTTTCTTTATTTTTTGTTCAGCACAACGATATTAAAGTAATAGAATAGCCATGATGTGAGTTGAAGCTGAGCGTGAAAACTTTCACTGAAAATTAGGTCATTTTCAAACTGAGTGATAAGAAATTTGTGGATTTTTTTTATTAGACATGATAATTCTATTTTACGAATTGTCATATAACGATTATTAAGTACTGTAAGCCGTGCCCGCGGTTTCACCTGCGTAAAATTTCAATAACAAAATATAACCTATATGTTATTCTGAGCAATATTACTGTAAAGCTTCATAAAAATCCGTTCAGTAGTTTTTGCGTGAAAGAGTAACAAACATCCATACTGACAAACTTTCGCGTTTATAATATTATATTAAGATTAGTTTGTGATGTGTATAGGAATAAAATCAATTTCGTTTTCAGGATTTAAAGGAGAGTACGGGTATTTGTGAGCGGATGAGGCGACGGCGCCTGGCGCCATGAGCTAGCGAGCATGGGTGGCGAGGGGGCGGGCCGCGGCGCCGCGCGCTGGCACGTGGGCGACTCGCCCCCGCGCGCGCCCATGGGCTTCGCGGCGCCCGCGCAGGATGGGCCGCTCGACCGGGGGCTCGCGCCTGCGCCGGCGCCCGTGCCCGCGCCCGCGCTCGCTGGCAATGCCGCGTTGCAGCGGACGCACTCCAGGTACAGTTTACTTTAAATAGAATCTAATAGAAAATTCTTTTTAAAAAAGGGGTTAACCTTTTAATAGTCATACTCAATTATGTGAAATCCTTTTAATTTGGAAAGCTGTCTCATCACAAGAAGAATGTGAAAAAAACTGCCGTCTTGCTGTTTTAAATAATTTTTGTAACTTTACATTTACAATTTGCAAAAATCTGTCAATATCATTAAAAAAATTAAGAGAATCATGATACTTAAGGCATTGAACACATACGTGGAAAATTGTAGAACTTTATTTCATTAATTTAATTTAGCTTGACTTACTCAGTTACTTTAGCTAGAGCGATATAGATTAGAAGTTTACTATACTGATTGAAAAACTCCAAGTTTTTCTGATCATTAATGATATTTTTTTTATTTCTAGAGACAGCTAGGTAGTAACGCTCTCCCTCTACCACTTTGAATATAAATTAGCGTGCTGATTTGTGTATAAGACGTTTATCATATAACAACAGTTAATGTTGACTTAATATTGATAATGATTATGATTACACTCTCTGGAATTACATATTTCTCATGTACTTGTAGGTCCATGTCGTCACTACCGCCGGAGCCGTTTATGATGCTCCGCGCGAAAGCGCTGAGCAAGCGGGTGATCATCAATGTTGGCGGGGTGCGGCACGAGGTGCTATGGCGCACGCTAGAGCGGCTGCCGCACACACGTCTCGGTCGCCTACGCGATTGCAACACACACGAAGCCATCACGGAACTCTGCGATGACTACTCGCTTCAAGACAACGAGTACTTCTTCGATAGGTTGGTTGATATTGATAAAAATAAAAATTTTAAGCAATTTTGAATCATGTAGATAAGAACCGTCCGGTTAATAATGTCAGTTTAGAAATCCGTATATATTAATTCCACTAGTTTAGGAGCTAAAATACCACATAGAGAGTCATATATACGTCTAACTTACATATAATACCCCTCTTTATGCGTCAAGGTTTAAAAAGAAGGACATACTCAAATCGATAGTATTTTATGAGGCAAAATACATATGTTTACTGTTGTCTAATATCATTTTGTATTAAATTACCTACTTCGTAATTAGACTTTATATCCATATATAACTTCATATCCATAGAAATATAAATTATTCGAAATAAAAAGATATTAACAATTGATGTTTTGTAGTGTAGGACTATAGTATTACGAGAAAATTAAAGAGTCATTATTATTATAAAGAAACTAAATCGCTGGCATATTAAAATAATAATAATAATACTAATCCAAAGATTTTTATTGGTTTTTAGTCAGGCAATAAAAGATAAGATATTTATTTAAAATTAAGAGTGAGTGAAATGTAATACTGTTCATAATGTTCACTAAGGTATTAGTCTATATACATATGTCAGACTGCTTGTATCAAACAACCCATCGCCGATCATTATCAGAGGTTATCATCGATTTCTCGTACTTTACATGCTACGTCTATGGCTCGTACAGACCTAAGTGCCTACGTGACTGCAACTATTGTTAGTTGTATAGTCATCAGTGCTACAACGTTAACCTACCTAACTACATACAATTAGGTCACGCAATAAAATAATTTGATTCTGATATTGAAAAATAATACATATCTACATCCCTTTCGTAGTATTTTGTTTAGGGCGGTCTTAATGTTCATACAGAAATACAAACAAACAATATTTATTACGTAGTATTGGTATTAAATGACTATTTACAAAATGGTCCTGTTAGCTGGGCAAATTCTAATTAGTTTTTGCTACACATTGGGCGAGCACAATAGATCTCTGTAGGTCGCAGTGCTACGGGTGCTACAAACACCTGACAATAGCCCAAACAACCCAATAAAAAAAAAATTTGGTACACATAATGATAATATCCTAGATAAATATATAGGATTTCTAAGTTATCTATAGTTAGTGAGATAGTAAGAGGATAATATAATATTTTCAAATACCTTTTTTGCCATCAGAATCATGAATTTCATTGATAGAAGTTTTTGATATAACATTTTAGATATCGATACGTTTTTGAAAATTATGCAGATAATGAATGAATGGTCTTAGAAAAAACAAAATTAAATATAATTAATTTATACTTTGCAGGCATCCAAAGAGTTTTAGTTCTATTTTGAACTTCTATCGTACGGGAAAGTTGCATTTAGTAGACGAAATGTGCGTGTTGGCCTTTAGCGACGACCTGGAGTATTGGGGCGTGGATGAATTATACTTAGAGTCCTGTTGCCAACATAAATATCACCAGCGCAAAGAGCACGTCCACGAAGAAATGCGCAAAGAAGCCGAGAGCCTACGACAACGCGAGGAAGAGGAGTTCGGTCAGGGTACTTGTGCTCAGTACCAGAAATGGCTTTGGGATTTACTTGAGAAGCCAACCACGAGTATCGCCGCAAGGGTAACGTATCGAATAATCTTGTAATTAAAAAGATTTTGTAAAATAATTCTATGTTGATTTAACACTAGCAAAGCTGCCGAGGATATTAATGTTATGACTAAGAGAAAGGTACAAACAACTCGCCTTTATGATAGAATACGAATGTCACACTTGTATTTTTTATGCTTTTGTTTATTGTGAGCGGTTGGTACAGACTGTTTATTTCACATACCTACTATTATGTATATTAGAAGCACAATTAAGTACAATTTGTAGCGAGTAACTAAAATGAAGTAGTCACGCAATTGCAAATGTGTAGGTACACTCAAACGCTAAATAATAGAAACACTAAATAATTGAATATTATATGGAGCGTCAGACAGACAGTGAATGCATTAATTAAATTTCGCAACACAAAGTAATATGTCTTTGTGTTGCGACATAACATATCGTAATATTTTTTTAAAGTTAATTGTAATACTGAGAAATATATTCAGAAAGTTTGAGGCAATAAAGTAAAACGTTGGTCCATTTACCACCTCGTTAACTATTGTACCCTATAAGTAGGTATATTAGTTATTATGCAGGGATCGATTACTTAAAATCCTGTTGCAAGTAAGTATAATGATAAGTACTAAAAATATTTTTTGTATAAATACGCAAAAATTAAAAAAAACTTAAATAATTAAGAAAATATCATGAAAGACCTTTCGTGTGGCTATTAATGTATACATGGTCTGTCTTACAGGAAGCTCCTTCTTAAAACTATCTCTGCACAGCACATTACAAATTGTTGTAGTATAAACAATGTTTGGTAAAAATAGTACATAAAAATCCATATATGCCCATTTAAAATTGTAGCACGTACTTCAATTTTCGTTTATAATTATGCGAGTGAAATGCATATCAATTCGTTAAACTACAAATTACTAATTAGGTATTTATTGGTACACAAGTTCAAAACATATACAGAAACAAACAAATGTTAGTTTTTTTTTCACTAAAATATCTGAAGTTAATAATATTTAACTAACTAACAATCTAACCTCTAGTTTTTAGCTGTGTTGGGTGTCTAAAAGATTTGTATTTTTTTTTTTATGGTTTTGTATTCTATGTATATGGTATACCTATACCAAAATATTTGTTGCAATGATCAATTAACTGCGAAAGTCCTTTGGATACCCAATCTTGATATCGGTGATACGGAGTATTTATTTGAATATAGTTTTGTACATGTACACTATTGTATGTTGTGTTTGTGGTGCATGAATAACATCTATCGCTGTCTCTTCCTTGATGTCGGTGTCTATTTGTTGGTCTCCTTTGTTGTATTGCATTATGGAATGTGGTGTTGTGTTCCGATGTTGTATCGTGACCATGACATGTGATCGCTTTTGTCGAATCCAAATATTTCGCTAGACCTTCCTGTTCAGTAACTTTCAGCTCACTTCGTAATTATTTCGGAAATTCATTAATGTTTCGATAACAGCGGTGCAGCTAAAGCATATGTAAGTATGAAATTAGTATGGTTAATTAAAGTTAAGTTATGTTATTTCTTTAGTTGTAGGGGTAAAAAATGGCTGCTTTAAATGTTTATTGCATTAAAGTCATAGTAAAATTGGCTTAATGGTTTATATTATAAACGTTTAAATGAATGAACTAGTATCGTACATTAATAATATGCAGTGCCGAAAATTTTACATTTTCAATAGTATTTCACCAAAATCAGTTGGTAATCAATAGTCACGAGCGCTGTCCGTACTAATTTATTAGTTATTATACAGTAATAATATTAGATAAAATACACAACTCTATTATTTATTATTTACTTTAGTATTACAGTACTTTTTTGTTCCGTACACCATGCACTCTAATATTTCAGAATTACAAGAATTAATTCTTGCTAGGTTTGGTAATCTTAATCTTTTAAGCAGCACATTTTATATATTCTGGTAAATATATGTAGGTACGTATCGTTCACAAACATTTTTCTATAATTTATTTTAATAATTGATGTTTCTCCTTCGTCCTATTTTTATGGCTTCACACATCACAGCATTGCTGTGACACCATTAGGTGATTTTCTAACCAATGTTAGAAGACTTTGTAAAGTCTATGTATTGAGATTTCTGGCATTAATTGATGTTTAATATGCTTTAAGATACGCTAGAGTTTACTGCGTTTAATAAAAAAAAGAGTTCCAACTATTTTGGCTGCTTTATAGGAACGTAAAATGTTATATTTACAAGTATTGTAGTGATTACTGTCAGTAAATCACATTACTGATTTGCTGACAGTAATCACTACAATAATATTGCAATATAAAAGAGATTTCTTACGCGATGAGACCGCTTTTGTACCTTCTTACCTACTTCTGTTTTAATTTATTTATTTACTTTATAAAGAACATAATTCTTTGTAATTTATAAAGTAAATAAATAAATTATGCAAAAAGTACAGCGGTGCTCGTGCAAAATTTAAATTATGAATAACCTATATAAATTTTAGGACTATTTTTATAAATCTACACTAAAGCCATTTTATATCCCTGTTTTTAAATTTGGGGAATTTTTATATCTGCATTCTTTATATTAGGTACTTGAAAAAAATAGATATACATTTTTTTTGTGAATTGTTAGGTCGATTGTTTCCTTGATTTAAGTAGGCACATGTTAGGTATCTGAATCTTAATAGTAAGATCTCTAATATATAAACTAGATAATTCAAAGAGATGAAAATGATTTGAGCAACAATTAGTCAAGATAGAATTTTAATTGAATCTATTTATTTACCGGAAAATTGAGTAAATTCAAACAATTACGAGTACCTTAATAAAAATGTACCTACCTATAGATAAATCTACAGCTTATAATTTAATATAAATGTCGATATATTTATATATACCTATACATATATATTATATATGAAGAGAAAGTTGTACTATTGCTTTCTCTATAGTACACACAATTATTTTAAATATAATTTAATTAAACAATTAGGTATGTATTGAGAATCTGTTTAATAGTTTAATTATCTAGCTTCAACTCTTTTTTTATGTAAATAGTAAGTCAAGTATTTATTCAGTTTCACTCTTTTGTTAATTGGAAATGCATTCGAGCTGTAATATTTTTTATATATTGTTAAAATATGGCAGTCCCCTGTACATAACTTTTTTTTACCTAGGTTAACTTTTATAAATGTTCACAGCCGCGTCGGTCTCTCTCCAAATGGAGAACACTATAAAGACGAAGCTTAATTGTTGTCGCAAAGTTGCAAATATGGGATGGGCTTACGCGATGTGACCAGCCGCCGCCGGCGACGCTCCGCGGCCCGCGTGCGGGGTGGCACGGGACGGCGCGCGCGCCCTGCGGACGTACGCCAGTGCGCAGTGCGCGCCGCCGCTCCCGCGCCGCCTCCCACCAAGGCTGAGCGTCGCTCCGCCGGCGTCCCCACACCTCTTTCCGTAGCTCCGGGCTCCGATCCGCGTCCGCTCCTCGCACCTGCTCCGTTCAGCTCCGTCTGCCACCTCGTCCTCTCATACTATACACCAGCGCTTCCGCTTCGTGGTACTGATATCCGACTAACCGAGCGACGCGGACGATGGACGGACGTGCGTTGTCGTTTCCCTTCTCTTTGTCTACTCTGTCCGAAGTTTGTACGCTCGTCCGTTCATCGAGCTGTAATATTCATTTAAATTACTTAACTACACCTCGATCACACAACACTACTTACATGAACCACACATAATAGATGTTATTTTTACACCAAAATTTAAGCAATAATTGTAATACATATATATACCTAACATAAGATGTTATTGGCTTTAATCATAAATATTGTAAATACATTGTTATATACTATCACTACGAATATAATCGTAGTGTACTTACTATTGTACAAATGTAGGCTAAACTAGCTCTGTATAGACACTCACATTACAATATTACACATGACTGTGTATTGTCCATACTGGGTATTGCCGTTAGTACCTTCTTAGTCGCAAAATTACGTGGCAGCGCTGTGGCGAGGAGCGCCGTCGCTCGAATCGCAACCGCTCACTCGGTGCGTGCTTGCAGGTGATCGCGGTGATTTCGATCCTCTTCATCGTGCTGTCCACGATAGGGCTCACTCTGAACACGATACCTCAAATGCAAGTATACGACGAGAAAGGCGCACCCATGGATAACCCGCAGCTGGCCATGGTCGAGGCTGTGTGCATCACTTGGTTTACGCTCGAATATGTGCTGCGATTCAGTGCCTCGCCGGATAAGTGGAAGTTCTTCAAGGGTGGACTCAACGTAATAGACTTACTGGCTATTTTGCCCTATTTCGTATCTCTCTTTCTACTCGAAACCAATAAGAACGCGACGGATCAGTTTCAAGATGTACGTCGAGTCGTACAAATTTTCCGTATAATGCGAATATTACGCATTCTCAAACTCGCCCGACATTCTACTGGGTTACAGTCACTCGGCTTCACGCTCAGAAACTCTTATAAAGAGCTCGGGCTGCTTATGTTGTTCCTCGCGATGGGAGTGCTTATATTTTCCTCATTGGCGTACTTCGCCGAGAAGGAAGAACCAGGGACTAAATTCATTTCCATTCCGGAAACGTTTTGGTGGGCCGGCATCACCATGACCACAGTCGGATACGGTGACATTTACCCCACGACCCCGTTGGGCAAGGTCATCGGCTCAGTTTGCTGTATTTGCGGCGTGTTGGTAATTGCGTTACCCATCCCCATTATTGTCAACAATTTCGCCGAGTTTTACAAGAATCAGATGCGGCGGGAGAAGGCGCTCAAGCGGCGAGAGGCGCTGGAACGTGCTAAGCGCGAGGGCTCCATCGTTTCCTTCCATCATATTAACTTGCGTGATGCATTCGCCAAGAGTATGGACCTCATTGATGTCATCGTCGACACAGGTCAGTACCGCGTAGACGTTTTGCTTACGCTGCTTGTCCAGTCCATGTCATGTGTCCTTCGCTCGCAGATGTATCTAAAACTTTCTTCACTACGCGCGCATGCCCTTCGTGCTCATTTTCGCATTTGTGTCGATTGTATTGAATGTCGAATGAATGCACGTTTTAACATATAGCTCTCCGGACTAGCAGACATCTTCGAAATCAAACAGTTCACGTTACATCGCAGCTACAGCTACCTTCACCCGTTCGTTCAAACGAGGTGCACTCAGAGTTTTTTATTCCTTGTCTTCAGGTGACAAGTGCGTCCTCATTGAGGCGAGAGACGACGCCAGATGAGCTACTTGCTACTATCGCACAGTCGTCACACTCGATCCCCTTATATTTATATCCGTAGCATGGGGTCGGGCTTGTGTCGCGTGTAGCTTGCGATGTGCAACGAAGACACTATAATCTAAGGTCGATTACATTGTCAGCGTAAGCCTAACGCTTCCTAGAACTAACATTCCTATATAATGGACGTTCTGATGTGTGTATCCGGAGGAAGCTGGATTTCATAGACTGTTCATGTGGAATGAGTGTTGTGTAGTTCACGCCGCTACTTTTTGTCATTACTAAGAAATGTTGTTTAGTTTATAACATAATAATATTTATTATCTATAAAAGATAATCTGGATGGGAGTATCGAACGCATCGCTTCTTAAGTTGGTGTGTGTCTCCAGGACACAACTTGTCGCAGGCGGACGCAACTAGCTTGGAGGGCGAGGCTCCTGCCACTACTGGCTGCTACAAACAATATGAGCACGCCATCACCAATAAGGTCCCACAGAGTACTGACCCTTCTCAGGTAAGACTACCTTAGAATTGTATGGGTGCGTTCATTGTCAGACCATTTTGAGGTCAAAATGTATTGAACCCAATGATATTATTATGATATAACATTTGTGCTATTTATGAATTTATGCAAGTTGCATAAAACTTATACATTGACTGTATAGTTAATGTGAATTAAAAAATATAGTAATAGGTATTTTGGTGGAGATGTTCCATATACATATGTGATACCGATAGTTAACAGAACAAAATGCTTAGTAACGATTGCCATTAAATATTACACTTACCTATTTAGTGAATTTATTTTCAATGTTCACACACTCAACAATGTAGTGCACTGATTATTGAACATTGGGACCGATTAATTGTAGAACATAATTAATCACATTATTGCACATTTTTCTTGGCAAGAATTCCATAATTTTGTAAATTTGTACAAAAATTATTTATGTAGTTATATGCACTATGGAGATGAAGCGTAGATATTTATTTGTGTTATGGATTTATAGATTTGTTGCCCTTAGGAATATACTTTTATATGTAGATACATAAGTAAACATAACTACTACTGTTTTCACTTATATTTGGGCGCACCCACAGCTCCGAATATATTTTAATGCACATTGCTTGCTTCTAACACAGTAGTTCACAGTTTCAGAACAGCCCTAAGAAAGAGCGACGCTATTCAAACGAGGGACCCGACACGCCTGAGAAACGTTTGCTCATAAATCCTGAGCCTACACCAGTAAGTTTTTATAACACACTTAATATATTTTTGCATCATGTATCTAATTTTAACACTTCGTGATATGTTAATTGGCCGTAAGTTATAATAAATAAGAACGATTGGGTACAAACAAATTAAAGATGCACTCGTAACACATAATCTTACCAACGAAGGCATAAATTATAGTTCGTTGGAAATAGATTCGATGTACATTGTATACATTTATGATGTCCATATACTCTGTGATTATATTCTATAAGTAGAACTGTCTGTAGCAGAAAAATGTAGTTTCCTTTTAGAAGTTTTCAGTAGTTTATTTTGTTAAACATAACGTATAAAATAATATTAAAAAATGTCCAATAGCGGACCATTCAGATTTATATCGCAAATGTTAAACACGCAAATATAAATAAAGTTTTCAACTGCTACATACGTTTCATAGTACCATTAGAAGCTATAAAATACAATATGCCGGTTTATTTAAAGTTTGGATTTCATCACGCCTTCAATTAGTCAAAACATTTTGTGAACAGTTAGATTGTAGCGATGTATACCTATGTTTTCTAACTATATAATGTACTTTGTACATAATAAATAGATAATGTACTTTACACATCTAGTTGGAAACTGTTAAAACTTTGGTACGCTTTTTAACAAATTCACTGTAGTAAATTGTCGTAACAACTAATGAATTCTCTTTTTCTAGGAAAAGAAGACGGCTGACAAACAGCTTGACTTGGATCAGCTGCCTTCTGAGTTTGAATGTTGTTTTTGCACGTTTAAGGTACTAAGATACTAATGCTAGTGGAGATTTGTGAAAATTAACTAAATTAATACCCGTCTCGTACATAATAATTATGGTTATGAAATTAAGACAAAAGTGTAATAATAGAGCTTATACTAAATTAAACATTATACTGTTTTATATTTTTCTTTCAATCTAATATAGATGATCACTCTGTAAGTATTTTAATCATTATTTTGAAGTATATAGGCATATACATATAGGCATATGTTATATTTGTTCACGATTCTTTTGTTTGTTTCTATACTTTTTACCAAATGTGTAATGAATAAAATATAAGAGTATAAACATAGGTACCAACAAAGAACAATATTATAGTAACTAAACTTTCTTAAATGCTGTTTAGCTATTTCTGTGAAACTTCCAGCACTCCAGCCTACGACTCTACCTTATTATTATTGTTTCGTTTTTTGACGTTACAAGCATTTTTTGTTTAGGGTTACAAGGAGTTCATAGATGCAGAACAGCTGATGCCCATGTCGACATCAGATCTTCGACAGCCAGTGTGCGTGGAACTGGCTTGCCTACAGAGGCATCCTGCACCGAAAGCTCTACCCGAGGCTACCCCCAACAGTCTTGATAGTCCTGGTACGTGGTTATATATTACTAATGAACAAATGTAAACAATGTAATTACAAGCTATATTTTAGAAAAAGTGCCATTTATATAACTATTAAAAAAAATTGTCAGCTAGTACCTAAATAATTACAATTATATAAATGTTGCTCGTTGTTTACATTTGTTTATGCTATAAGTGTTTTAGGAAATTATTTGTATGGTTTATGTGTCAATAGCAAAAGCCAGTCCTGTAGAAAATCCCTGTGCGTGTTGTTGTCGTCATATTTCCCTATAGATACATACTCATTCACAGTTTGTTGATGTTTATCTTGGCACCTGAAACCTCATCCTAAATTTATTGAATAATTTGAAACGGCTGCCACTTAAGTATCACTTTCAATCCGGTCATGCGCGCTCCATTACGTCTTATGTCTTACATTACAGATACATTTGCATCATGCCTTACGCACCCTTTTCCTTCAGAGGGCGACATCGCATGCGAGATCGACTCGTCAAACTTGTATGTGAATCCTCTGGATGGTAGCGGAGGAGGCGGCAATGGTGGGAGCGGGGGAGGGGTATCCACAGAGTTTAATAGTGTGCGCAAGAGTGCCTCTGGGGATGGGAGCGTATTGTGTAAAGGTTCCCAGGGCGAAGAATCGCCGCTAGGTTCGCGGGCTAGCCTTGCGGTGGCAGGTGCGGGAGCGATTGTGCCCGTCGGAGCCGGAGTTCTGTCGAGAGCGCAGGACGCGTCTCGAACCAGTCTGCCTCAGACGTTAGAGGACCTACCCACCGCCTCAGGGATCCCGCCAGATGACATCAAGCCGAAACACAGAAAAGCTCGATTTCAACAGGCAAGTCCATTTAGCATGTAGTCCTTTTAAATGACGTATTCCAAAAAATGCACTATACAGTTTACAGTTGTTTCAAATGTTTATCCTATCCAGTGTTATGTCTGCATGTTGTAGTTCACGTTATACTTAATTGTACAAATAGGTAGGTCAAGCATGTACAGAATAAATTATAGGACACCTTGGTAGACAGAATGCTGTGAAAAAGTGTATAAAATAATTTTGTACTTTTTGTTTGTTAGGAATGGTCGGAGGAAGAGAAGAGACCACCGAGGGGTATAGCAACGAGGATTATCAACCACCACATCCTATTTGGTTTGTGAATTGTATTACCGAATATAATTAAACACATGTAGAGAATAAGTTTATAGGAATATTAATTCAGATTGAGAATTATAATATAGAAAGTTGTAGTAATAAATCTCTAAATAGCAAAAATGCACCTTCATCCGAAACAGCTTACGAAGCAAGTTACTTTAAGGAACTGAAATTGCAGTATAAGAGGCATAACATATTAGTTCTCCGGAAAAGCAACGCATGTAAACAATTAGTATTTTATACCTATGTCCAGGGATTTTATGAACATACTCAATTTATTATTATTTTGTCTTTCGTGACAAATGTTTCCACTTCAGAAATCTCGCATAGCGTGACACTGTAGCGGACTCGACGTACTCATCCTGAACAAGACAAATTTCTGTACTTAGTTATAAAATATTAGTGCTAATATAGACTGCAGTCCCAAGTGGTTAATTGCGGTGTCAATTAAAGGGAAGCTTGCGACTGCGGAGTACCATCCCAGACTATGGCCTACCTGGCTCCTGTCTTTTATGCCCATCATCCTGAATAAAGGAAGACCTAAAAAAGCGACTTTCTGTGGAAAATACATGTATGCAACTAAATGTAGTTTCCATTGATTAGAAAGTAGTGCACAATTAACATAAGATTTAAAAATAATGTAAACAGTTAGGTAGAGTAACTTAAAAAAATATGGGTATATTTATTTCTATATTCTTTTTATGGAAATAGGTAAGAATGGCAATAAAAGAGGAAGCGGCTGGCCATTGGAAGGTGACTCACGCTCGCGGTCGATCCTTAAGAATAAAGAGTCGCGCGGGACCGACAGCGAGCTATTGCTGCAGGAGACCACCTCGCTTGGTGCTAACGTGAGTTCTTTTCTTTCAACCAGGGCTGTAAAAGTAACAACAAATGTACCCTACGTGCTAGGACTCCGATTTCAGTACTCACCTATGATGTGTAGCTACAGTACATTAGCAATTACAATCACACATTGCTACTTTTACTAAATAGTAACTACGAGAATTTGAAAGTACCACCACGGTACATTGATACTGTGATTGTACCACTGAAACAGTTCATTTGTTGAGTTGTTGTTGTATCATTTGCAACAGTTTTATTTCAAGCGACTGCTATTTTTCTTTGTAGTGAAGTCATCTTCGCCAAAATTGAATCGAAAATGATATTTCAGGGTGACTCCGGCAGCGAATCCTCGCCAATTAGACTGAAGGACTTCAAAGGTCAAAATCACAAGGGCAGTGCTCAAGAGCGCGACAATCTCGTTACGTAGACTAATCTTGATTGGATAAGTAGGTGAATGCGATATCATCAAGTAGTATAGTTATACATACGTTTCGGCCCATTGTACGCGATACTCTCATAAGTACATTAATAATAATTAGAACGCAATAACATTATAAAATATATATAAACAAATAATTTTAACATATCATTGGGCGATTGTGACTGCTTGTTGAATATAGAATTTCATTTTGTAGGGGTTCTAAATAATGTAAAAAAAATATTACGTAACGTAATAATCGTTCATTCCAATCGAAAAGTTGAAGGTACCTATTTGTTAAGTTTTTTACGTGCAATTATTAATTGCTAATTCTAATTTAAGCGATATATAGTTTGTACAGCATAGTTGATGAAAATGAAGCAATTATTAAAAATAAAGATTTTCTGAAATTGTTACGAGTTATTTGTTTAGGTATTACCGTCCCTATCGTTTATTTTTATTGATTAAACTCATATAAATGTTACCAGAGGTAAATTTTGATGAGGGTTATTACGGGCGTCGCATTACCTTTACCCGTGGCACTCTTTATGTAAATATTATATCTATATAATAACAGATTTTAACATGAATAATTTTATGATACATACGATATATACTCTACTCTTTGGACTTGACACATAAGCTGCCACTTAACACCATGTGTAGAGTCAGTTTATTTATCATTCCAGTTGCATTGTAAAATATGCAGACAGGTTACTAGGTAGATACTAACGCGAAGGACTATCCTTATGAAAACGCCTACACAACAGTCCATTGTAAGGTTTTCTATTAGCCAATACCGTATCAAATGGAGACAAATTGCAGATAACTCAATAGCCAAGGAGGAGTAATGACTGTACAAATCTGATGACAATCTTACGATCTGCTAAGAGTCTTCGACTTAGAAGAATGTGTAGGCCACAAACCAATAAAAGACGTTTATTGTCAACAATGATATTTATTTGGAAGCTAAATTCTTTTCCATAATCTTTATTAATATAATAGAAACAGTGTTCAACATAAAAAATTAAATTCAATCAACATTAGTGCTAGTGTTTTAGAACTATAAATTAATTATATCAACGTCATTGTGTAATTAAAATGTGGTACTCACATACAAAAAATATCAACTTTTACATAGGTATAAATGAAAATTTTGACTTTTACAATTAACATGTTCACTTATAGCAGATGCAGCTGGGACTGTATATTTTAAAAGTAAAATATACAGTCGCAGCTGATTATATAACAAATAATAAAAAAAAATACAATCGACTGAAATATTAATTTAAATAATGGTCCAAAAATAATACTCATTGTAATAAAACACTTAACAATATAATTAATACTTAAATAAATGATAACATAAAGTTGAAAACATTAACTTTGGTTTACAAAGAGTAACATCGATACGACTACGGACACTGGGTTTATTTAGAATTTAAACAAATTAGAATATAATAATATACATATTTGACTTTTACTTGTTAGGGAAGCACGTAACTATGTTGTCCCCTAACAACCAATCAAGTATTTATAATAATATACAAATTAAAATAATGGGACTCTTGTGTTTATCGTTGTTGTAACAAATTTGCATAGTTATGTTAATCCACAATATTAAAACTTATAGTGAACACTCAGGCACCTTACTTTAATTTGTTGGCAGTAACCATGGCACATAATTATGTACATATAACAACTCTTGCCATATGTTATACTCATACCATGCGTTATGAAACGAATATTTTGTTCAAATATCATATTCTAATCGCAACTAAAGTGTCTCGATATATTCGATTAATCACGAAAAATTACAATATGTATTTTAATTTAAAGCTTTGAGTACTAAAAATTATCACAAATACCTCTGTCTGTATTTTGTTGAAAGCCAAATTGACATAATAGGATGCATTGTATAAATTGTACCCATCTCAACCATGTCGTATAAACACGGGCTACAGTGAGAACAATATTGTAAATTAGCATTTTATAAAATAAAAATAAACATACAAAATATAGGTGACATAAAACGAGTATTATTTTTTTGGGGTTCGTTTGTTCTAAGCTTATACAATGGCATTCTATTGTGACAAAATGGCTTCATGTCAAAATTTGTGGTGCACATACATAAATTAATTAATGTAGTGATATTCTTTAAAATTCTCTCGTGTAAATCACTGCTTATAGACTGCACCTCTAAGTTTTGTGGGAATTTCTGAAAAATGCAGTAAATAGTGAAAAAAATTAATATCTACAAATAATATCTAAAGTATTTCAAATGCAATGTAGTAAGTTAATTATATAAAAATTAATTGTGAGTTTGAAGAAATATCCACAAACATTTACTTATTGAGTACATTAATATTAATAATTCAGTTAGTCTCATTAGTGTTATTATAAGAAAAAATAAATTAAGAAAACAATACTAAGTGGCAACACAATAATATAATAGATTTTGTATGACGGACGCGACACACGCAATCGGCCGTGACAACTTAATAAGGATCATAATGAACGAGGTTGGTATAAGTAGGCGCTTACTAACGTTAACTACTAAATAAGGCATTGTTTTATTTATAAAATAGTTCACTTATTAGATTTTTAAAATCTTTGACTGCCCATTTTCCATATAGGCCTGGACTAGGAAAAATTGAGGTGAGTAAATGTCGGAGTTATGTTATTTTCTGAATAATACGTTCATGTTAGTAATATCTATTATAATTCCTTTGTATTGGCCAAATTGAAAATGTGCAATGTCTTCATCAACAGTCACCACTGTGATTGTGGTCATATTGGTATTGTATTTCTCATATCTATATTCTATTGAGATATGAATGTTCCTAATGGCTGTTGATAAAATTGCTGTTATTAGGCTCTAACATCTTAAATACTTTTCAACTAAATAGTTTGTCTTTTTTATTTCCGCCTAGACATTTTTATTTGACTTTTACCATGTCTTCTTGTTGCTCAAAATAAAAATAATTTTCCTTTACAATCCGGTAAGTCCCGGTAATAAGGTGACCGCATTAAACATAACATGCCTTTATAGAATTTTCGTAAAAAAAATATGTGCTTTGGTTTGTCTATAATAAATTCGTCATTACTTACACCACAGTATATTATTAGCATAGAGGAGACTCATGCCTGTAGGGCTAGGATTACTTGTAATATGGTTACTAGTTGTTCGGTAGTCTAAATATGTAATATAATTTTTGATCACATGATATATAAAAATAATATGATTCGAAAAAAATATTTTACAAATGAATCCAAAATACATGCTGCAATGAGTCATAAACTCAGAATGTTTTAAACAGTTTTCTGTTTAAAATTCAGATATATCATAACATTTAGAATATAAAAATTAAGACATTTACTAAATAGATAGCAGAATGCTAGTTTTACAGTAAGATATGTATTTAAAAAAAATGGTAATAAATTTTCTATTCGTACATAGATAGCAAGATGTTAATTATCATTAATCCACATACTATTTGTATCTTTAGAAGTTTTCTTAGTCCAGTATGGGCATGATCCCTTGTAACCATTTAGGTAGGTCGTTTATTTAGATCCTTCAGGCAAGAACCACCAGAGAGAGGGCAGCGGTGGTGTCGATGCGGTGACCCTTTACATGACTCTTTACTATAAAGGACTTGTTGACAGCGACGACACTGACACAGCAACTGAGTTTAAAGGCGCGAGGTGATCGCCACCACCACTGCTGACGCACTATTCTAAATATTTTTGTATCTCAGCATGACCTTTTTCTTAGAAGTGTTTCTGTTGAGATACAAATTTAAAAAAAATGTTAAATTAATTAAGCCACTCGCAATTAATCGGCCAACACTGATACGAGACTACCCACTCACGAATATCACTCAGAATATGGTATACCTAAGTGCGGGTACACATTGTCCATTTCACACATTGTAGTACGCTGATCGACATGGTAATGTAATTAATCTGTAAAAGTTGCATTTTACGTAGCTGTTTCATATATATAAAATGGCTAATTATACTTCACCAAAGTCTATCTTACATATTTACATTTTATACACTATGAGAAAACTTACATATTATAGATAATAAATTAAAAAAAATATGTGGTGTGCATGTAATTGATAATGATTTCTCCACCGCTTGAACATAATTTGTTTTAGTGAAGTCTGGTATAAAATTTAAATCAGAAATATTTAACTAGAATTTACGCTGAATAACGTATAGAAAGTCGCATTGGTAGATAAGATGAGATAATTTTATTTATAAATTACATGCGTTAGTTAGTTATTTTCTAAAACATGCCATTCCTTTGAAATACATCTTATATATTCTATAGGCCCTAACAATGAAAAATATTTTACACTGCTTTATGAATAAATCGACTGTCAAAATGAGTTTATTATACTCAATATCTCTTTATGCGACGAAATAAAGATGCATATTGTAATGCGAGCATGCCTAGTTTGAAAGGAAGTGTCAGTGTAAAATTGTAATGAAATCTGCACATGTACTGGGAAGAGGAGACAAGATTAAGACATGTATCGTGACCAAATTATATATCCAAGGGAACAGTTTACGAAATGGACATGTACATATATATAAACTATATATATTAATACTAGCTGTGCCCGCGGTTTCAATTTCCATAAAAAATATAGCCTATACCTATGTTATTCTGACGCATAAGCTACATTACTGTTAAAGTTTCATCCAAACCAGTTCAATAGTTTTTGCGTGAAAGAGTAACAAACATCCATACTCATAATCTTTCACACTTATAATATTATTAAGATTAACGATAATATAAGAATCATTGATAGAGGGAAGCTCTGTATTTTTATTATTCATTGTATTTAGTGTAGTAATATAATTCACTTTACAGCCAAACGTTGCTCACATCTTCCCAAAAATGTTGTGTGACAAGAATATGTGTATGTTCAACATTTCAATAATAATATTTACTATAGATGTAAGGTAAACCTGTCTATAGTAATTGTGTTTTAGGGTATGGTACACACCCAATTTAAAAAAAAATATATCTAATGGTCTCATTATTACCACCAATGCTCTTAAACTACATATCCGCACCATATTCAGTCTATATTTTCATGTAGTGTTTAAAATTTCATATGGCGAAATGAATTAATGTTTTGAAAAATATATAATAGAATACAGTAATACTTAAAACTTAGTTCAGAATCAGCTTACATTATTTATTTTTCTTATTTATGACCATTACTATCATAAAATATCAAACCATTTAAATGCAAACCTGACTGCATTATGTCTTTTCAATATTAATTAATATCTTTCAGGTCATAATACTGAGGAATAAAAACTTTATGTGCAAAATTACGACAGGTATAATATAATAGGTACTTCTCAAAATTATATCACACCATAAAAATTCTATTTTGAGTCCTTAAGAAATTATACAAACTAATTACATGGAAACTATTACATGCTGTCGTGTATGAAGTATCGGGTACCGTTATAGCGTGGGACTAGAAATGTTAGATAAACAGATAGATAATTATTATTTGCATCCTCAGCACACACAATAGACATACAAAAAATAACATATAACAAAAACAGTAACAATAAAGCCCCAAACAAACTATATGCCACAAGTGTCACATAATGCTTAAAATCAGGCCGCTCAGAGTTTGTGTTTTGGACAGGTCGGGATCGAATGGGCGATGTAACTTTGAACTGATGTACGTATATAGCTTTTTAAAAGTCGAACCACATGAAATTGCGCTGTTTCAAGGTTATTTGGTCACATCACTACAAAAACAAAAGGTTGACATAACCTTCAAACAGCACAGTTTGATGTGGTTTATTTAAATTGTTGTTTGTGGTTTTAATAACTATTGTTTTTAGAATTTAAAATAGCCCAAAATATATATATTTATTGTAAGTTGGAATATATATATATATATATATTACATTTTTGATATTACTTTTTTCGTTCTCTCGTTAATAAGGCAGATAAAAGATATTTAAAATTTTGTCGTAAATTGTACGTCAGTTCAAAGTGACATCGCCCATTCGATCTCGACCTGTTCGAAACGCAAACTCTAAGCGACCGTCCTGTATGTTACTGAATTATGCGCTGCAGTGATGCAATAATAATATGAAATATATTAAAATATGTTAGTGGTTAATGTGTACCCGCATTAACATAGAGGTGCACTACCTGTGCCAGGCTATGGTGAGCGCGGTGCGTAGTTTCCCCCACAGCCACGGGTATAGTCCGCCGCCGCGCCACGCCGCCCGTGCCACGTACTTCACATAGTCGTATAGACCCCACGGTGCGTGTCCCCCGTTCACATAGTACACGTATGTGAACCCGTCTTTACATCGCCCCTTTATAGAGTAGTAGTATGGCAGAAATGAGTGTAGTCGGAATCTAGAATAGAAAATGTTTTCATCTTATTAATATACTTTGTTACTAATATCATGTATACATTTGATGACCTCGGTTGTCTAGCAGTTTACTAACCTAACTTCCGATGATCGCGGGTTCCAGTTCACACGGTACAAACATGATTGATTAATGAGTATGATTGTTTGTATCGGTCTGAGTGTTTACTAAGTATGATATATATATCTATGTATTTATATCAGTTGTCTAACACGTATATCCTAAGTTTTGTTTGGAATTAGATGGCATACATAATTTATATTAGGAGTATTTTTTTTTAAGTTATCTAATATTTTGTGGACTATAACAGAGTAGTTTTAGACATATTATCTCTTCTAAAATTAAAAATGCTGTAACATTAGTTGTAGTAACATACATTATTAGATAATGTACTTTTTTTTGTTTTGTAAATTGTGTTCTGCCAGTTCGAAGATGTATTTTTCGTCACCAACTACCAGAAACGTACTAAGCCTGATTAAGTGTCCATCCGATTGTATCATGCCATACCTAATGCCATATTACTAAATCTTAATTTTTCATTGGAGTAACAAAAAGTTATTTCATTGGACTAATTATATTATATATTGGACTAATTTTATATATTATATCAAACGAAGCAACTATTACTAAATGGTCATGCAATTTACAATTGGGTCATGCGATAGATATAAAACAATATTGAAAGCAAACAAACCTTCTCTTCTCATAGAAAAATATGGCTTCCGAATTGGTTGTGAGTACATGTAGGAATATTGCTTTAACTTTGTGCTCGTGGGGAGGCTGCGGTACTGGTCCCGATAGGTGGTTTATCAGCACATCTAACAGCATGGTAGCTACGCCTGAACGGCGGTATGCACGGACCACACCTAATGCATAAAGATTTATTTATTTATATTAGTGATCGCCCTGTAGTCAAAATTCCATAGATCATAATTGACATTCAGTGAGAATATGGCCAAACAATATTAATCTATTCTCAATTTGACCGCAGTCTTTAACAATAAACAAAAGAGTAGGATATGCGTATGTGTGTCAAATACATGGTAGTGTATGTAATGTGTTTTGTTGTATTAATTTGATATACTTTTTAGTTTAAGTTTCGCAAAACTTAAAAAAATTACTACCTAAAATGGTAGTAATTTTTAGTCTTTCTCTATATAAAAAATATAAGTTTATCAATTTCATACTCCTGCGTTCGCTTAACGTATTAATGTAAGATAAAAATATAGCAATAATAACACAATACAAAAGGTAAATGGTACAAATGCCGGATTATAATTGCCTATATTATAAATTATGTCTGTCTGTCTGTTTAATATCTTTTCACAGCTAAACGGCTAAACGGATTTTCATGAAATAACATGAAAATAGATTGTATCTGAACTACACTTGCACAGCATTGGATGTAATGCACTTATCACTTATTGTTAGCTATCTATTATTCTAATATGTAATCTGCAAGGGGTAAAATAGGAGATAAAAGTTTGTTCAGATTAAATCGCAGGACTATAACTAATAGTCTGTTAATTACAGAGATTAAATTGACAGGTGTAAATGCCTGATTTACCTCTAAAATGGGTAATTATTAATTTCTCATAGTGCCATAACCATATTAGCAGGCAACATTGGTAATGTAAATGTAAAATTTGTCTCAAGAAAAAAACCCGGCTACAGAATATTTATATTTCATTAGAATAAAATCAATTTATAGATTTATTAAGGATACAGTTAAGGACTGTATTTACCTAGAGAGAGGATATATGCAACAAGTGTATCCTTTGATGCAAACCATCTTGACAATATTCCTTTGTCCTCAGCATTCAATTTTAAATAAGGCTTAATCTCTGCAACTATTAGGCCTATGATCTGACACTTGTAGACTGCAGCGAGAGCAAAGAATCTCTCTGATGACGTGATATCCTCATACCACGACTGTGGATATTCTATTGGAAACCAGTCTCTACATAGGGACCTCACCTAGAATATAGAAAATTGTATTAGTGTAAATAATGAAGTTTTATTTACTTCCTGAGTTAATTGTGAAAAGTTTAATTAGTAAATTGAAGTGGTATATAAGAATAGACATCTTTATTGTATAATTATAACAAAATAATTTTTTGTTTAATAAAAGAAATAGAAATAGTCTTTATTCAAAAATAAACTTAATATAAGCACTTTTGAATAGTCAAGTTTTTTATTCTACCGCTTATTCAGAATGCAGATTCATCACAAGAAGAATAAGCAAGAAACTTGTGTGTTGCTCTAAGATAACTGTGTTGCTCTAATAATATATAAGAACACTACATAAAATGTATGAAAGCCAATTTACCTCCTCCAAGTCATCAGGGCACAAGAAACGCAACTGCACATCTGTTAGGCTGCATTTTGCATCTTTCGACTTCTCTATTATCACTTGAAAGCCCTCAGAAAGGTACCTAGAATACACATTGGGAATAATAGAAATAACAAACTAAAAGCACTGATACACATGAATAGAAAAGAAGTAAATATACAGATCTCAAATAATAGTAATGTAAGAAAGTTGTTTTTGGTGACACCAAGACAAAACTTGATATTTGAATTTATATTTATAACTCTCTGATATTGGAAACATTGATAACAAAATGGTAGAATATTTACACCCAGTTATATTGGATTCAAATATACTCAGCAAAATGTGGGTATGTCAATTATAGCATTCATCATTTTGTCGGCAATTGACACTGTCTCTAACAACCTCATCTACACTATCATAAACACAAAAACTACTGGACTCATCAAAAATTTTTTCACTATCAAAATCACAAATATAACATTAATCACTTTAAAAATAATAATTCAGATTTCTATCAAAGCACCAATAATGTCAATTTGTAAAAACATTGCTAGAAAGTCTTCTGCTCAAATATCCTCCACCTGTAAGAAACCTGGACAATTAAGAATTTATGTGAATAACTCATCTGAAGTAACAGTAGTGACAATAAGCATAATAGCACTATCTCCACATTTTTCTCACAAGATCTTGGTTTCCTTATACTAACCATTATTAATGGGCGTAGGGGATTGATAGTAATATTGACTAAGAACCTTCTAGACAACATCTAGTTAAAGTATACATACTTACTATACGGAAAAAAATAGGAAATCAAACTTTTGTATTTTAATCATAAAGTTTGAATAATAACAAACTATGCTTTTATTTGATGGTTTCTAAATAAAAACTGTTTTACACTTCGTTTGAGTACTCATTTGAAAATAAACGATGGTATTCAGGTTTATGTTTTACGCTTTCAAACTCGTAAAATATGTTGACAACACTCAAGTTTCGCAATGCCATATCTTAGTATTATTACTATTCTTCATTGCATTCAACGTTTCAATATATTTTAACGTGAGTCAGACAATTGGGCAATTTCATCCAATTAGAGTTCATGGAAGACAATCTATGTACACAAACAAATCACTAACCCTAGAGATTTGTATTTCAATTAGATTACTTAAGAATTGTAATTTATTTTACTCACCAGCTGAACCCAGCCATTCGATAATTTGGCCATTAATACTATGTACAATCCTCTCCACTAGTAAATTATCATGACCACTAACTAACTATACAAATCAAAATAAAGAATAAAGATTATTTTAATAAAATCGCACTGATAGTGATAAGATTTTCTTACAAATCGCGGTACAGATTAATTTAAAATGCAGAATTAATTTGCTTCATTTGACAGTTGACAGTATTGGCATATTATTCTATGGTCATTGTCATTAAAATATAAATAACTATGTAATTGAAAATTCTATTTAAAAATATTTTTTTCTATATAAAAGTAATTTGAACTTTATCTCGTAAAATCAGAGCTAAATTTTCATTTTATCTAGAAAATAGGTAAAATATATCCTTGCACGAAACAACAGCTTCAGGGATTCTATCCTCTTCATACAACTAACAATGCCATCTACATTTTAAGTTGTGTGAAGAGGATAGAATCCCTGAAGCTGTTGTTGTAGGCCTCAATGTAAGTTGTTAGTTATAGCCCATAACCTGTTGAAATGGGAGATATTCCGAGTGAAATGATTTAGATTTTAATGGATATTATTAATAAAATACGAACGACATGATGTTAATACGTAACTTTTAATCTATCAATTTATTTTTTACAATGACAGAATTTCTTAGTCAAATACAATTATGTACCTATATGAACCTATATGTTCATTCAACAGTTAACAGTACAGATTACTTACATTACAAGACACGTAGAATTAAAAAATAGCAATAAATAAATGAACATAAGTAGAAAATATCTGTATCTTATTTGAATAACTACATCATTTTGACTTTGATATTATTGCTTAATGTGCTACTCTTACATGACGAAATTTCTAAAACTAAGATGTTCTGTCTACGATACGTACCCAGTAATTTCACTGTATTCATTTTGACTTTGTTATTATTGCTCATTGTGCTATTCTTACATGTCGAAATTCCTAAAACTAAGATGTTCTGCTAGGTGAGATTTACCGACGATTTTATATAAAGTTTTGAAAACAGTATAATGTAAGTGGTACGGCAAGCTGTACGACCACACGTGGTTGTTCAGCGCGATTGGGCCGCTCGAACCTGGAAATACCACACCTCGGCAGAAAACCGGCGTTAAGCGATATCGCGTTTCGCATGGTGAGCTGTAGGTTCCGGACGCCCCTCCCCCTCCCCCTATCCCTTTCCTACTTCCTTCCCCTACCCACCCCTTTCTTACATACCATGGCAGCGGATTACAAGAGATTTTTACCCCAGGGTGGTACCAGTAACCATGTTACTGGAGAATCCACCCCTGAGATATCACACTGAGGCTGCCCTGCGTATTCTGGGGTGGGCAATACTCCGCTCAATTTGGCCAAAAGGAAACCGAGCAAATGTCCATCGGCGTTTCCCTTGCTCATAGTCAGTTTTTGCAACATCAGGCAATTCATTCCAATTTCAACGCCGTTCACCACCACCTAGAGACGGCGAGGCCGGCTTTGCTCTTCCTTACGGAGACGCAAACATCCTGTCCCGACGAAATTTCGTACCTGACCTACCCTGGATATAAATTGGAAAACCATTTTATTCCACGGGCCGGTGTGTGCGCTTATGTCAGAGAGGATATTTGTTGTCGCCGTCTTGGCACACTTGAAGGTACTGACCTGTCCATTTTATGGTTGCGTGTAGATTGCGATGACCACCCCCGCATCTATGCATACTTATACAGGTACCATATCGGTAACACCGAAACTGACCGACTCATTGAACACGTCCAAATGGCTACAGATTTTTTGCTCCAACAGATTCCCTCCGCTGAGGTCGTGATTCTAGGTGACTTCAACGCCCATCACGCTGAATAGCTCGGTTCACGTACCACAGACTATGCGGGGAGATCTCTTTATGGCTTTGCTTTGGCGTATGGTTTGACGCAACTGGTATCCACGCCTACGCGAATTCCTGATGTTGTTGACCATATACCTTCACTGTTGGACCTTCTGCTGACTTCACATCCGGACGGATATCAGATCTCTGTGGAAGCCCCATTCTCTGATCATTGTCTGATACGGAGCGAAGTGCGTCTCACGCGTCCTTCTTTGGCGTGATCTATTGTTTGGGATTTTAAGTCGGCAGATTGGGATGAGATGCGAAGTTTTTTTGCATCTTACCCATGGGGGCGAGTTTGCTTCGCACTGGACGATCCTGATGCAATAGCTGAATATGTCACCGATGTAGTACTTCAGGGAATGGAGATGTTTATTCCAAATTCCCTGGTACCTGTCGGTGGTAGATCTCAGTCCTGGTATGGCGGGTCCTGTAGATCGGCGTCTCGCCATATGCAGGAATGCTTCCGTGCTTGGATTGCAGCTGTGAAGTCGCGTGATCCAGATACCAGTGCTCATAAAAGGAAGTATAACTCCGCTTCCAGCTCCTTCAAAAGAGTTATAGCCACAGCAAAGTCGGAGCACATCAGCAGAATTGGTAGGAGACTGAACAGTCTTCCATCTGGATCCCGGGCTTTTTGGTCTCTTGCCAAAGCTGCTCAGGGAAATTTCTGTCAGCCATCTTTTCCACCACTGCGCAGAGAGGATAACTCGTTGGCCCAACATGCTGAAGAGAAGACCTATCTACTTGGGTCTCTTTTTGCATCCAACTCGACACTGGACGATAGGGAGCAATCACCGCCGGTCATCTCGCGGTGTGAGACTTCTATGCCAGAGGTAAAATTTACCCAAAAGCTGGTACGTAAGTCTCTTTTCTCCCTAGATATCCACAAGTCGAGTGGGCCTGACGGTATTCCTGCTATTGTGCTCAGGACTTGCGCACCTGAGTTGGCTCCGGTACTAACGCGTCTTTTCCGGTACTGCTGCTCTACAGGTGTAGTCCCGAAACTTTGGAAGACGGCTTTGGTTCATCCGATCCCTAAGAAGGGAGAACGCTCAGATCCAGCTAACTATAGGCCCATAGCCATCACCTCCTTATTCTCAAAGATCATGGAGTCGATTGTCAACCGTCAACTCCTACGATACCTAGAAGTGAACCAGTTGATTTCTGATCGTCAGTATGGCTTTCGCCAGGGTCAGTCGGCTGGTGATCTTCTAGCGTATTTGACACATCGATGGGCAGAGGCTACTGAGAGTAAGGGGGAGGCCCTATCTGTTAGTCTGGATATTTCGAAGGCCTTTGATCGGGTTTGGCACAAGGCTCTTCTTTCAAAGCTACCATCCTTTGGGTTGCCTGCGAAGTTATGCAAATGGGTCGCCAGCTTTTTCGCTGATCGGAGCATCAAGATCGTTGTCGATGGTGCTTGCTCCGACCCACACTCTGTGAATGCTGGTGTTCCACAAGGCTGTGTGCTATTTCCGACTCTGGTCCTTCTGCATATCAATGACAAGTTACAAGTCAATAACATTCATTGCTATGCGTTTGACAGTACCGGAGATGCCTTGTACAGCGGCCATGCTAATATGTCGCAGGCAAAAATTATAGAGTACCGGAACAAACTTGTGTCTGAAATCTAAACTTCACTCCATCAAGTTTCGGTTTGGGGTCTGAATAAATGTGTTCAATTCAACCCCAAGAAGACACAAGTTTGCGCGTTTACCGCTAAAAAGATTCCATTTATCGTCTCTCCTCAGTTTCAAGACACTCTCCTTGATGTGAAGCCAAATCTCGAGGTCCTTGGCGTTGATATATCCAGTGACGTTCAGTTTTGCGGTCATTTGGAGGACAAGGCTAAATAGCCTCAAAAAAGCTTGGTGTGCCCAGTAGAGTGAGACGGTATTTCACGGCGGCCCATCGCTTGCAATTATACAAGGTGCAGTTCCGGCCGCATTGGAATACTGTTCTCATCTCTGGGCGGGAGCACCACAATACCAGCTACTTCCATTTGCCCGCATTCAGAACTGAGCAGCCAGAATCATTGGTAATCAACGTCTATGTGACAGACTCGACCCATTGGCTTTGCGGCGAGATATTGCATCTCTGTGCATTTTCTACCGCATATATCACGGAGAGTGTTCTGAGGAATTGTTCGGATTAATACCAGCTGCTGAGTTTCACCACAGTACCACCCGCCAGAAACTGAAATACCATCCTGATCATCTGGATGAATGGCGGTCTTCCACAGTACGGTTTTCTAGAAATGGTTTTTTGTATCGCACAACCACATTGTGGAATCACTTTCCAGCAATGGTATTTCCGAACCGATACGATATTGAAACCTTCAATAAAAGAGCTTATTTCTTTTTAAAAGGCCAACAACGTACTTGCAATTCCCCTGGTGTTGCGGGTGCTCATGGGCGGCGGTAATCACTTACCATCAGGTGAGCCGCATGATCGTTTGTCCCCTGTGTTATATAAAAAAAATATTGTTAGTTTAGTTAATCCACAGAATCCACACGCCACACATATCTATTTGTGGAAAATGCCTTGACATATCTAGGCTACATCTCTTATTTTACATTTTATAATACGCATCATCAATCATCGTCATCAATACCTGAAATTTTAACTTTCTTCGACAGTTGTACTTTACAAATAGAGGTCAATATTCTACAAATAGCGCAATATAAAAAGTAGTTGCTGCATTATTCCGCACATGTTGTTCGAATACTGTGTTTGATTTCTCAACGATATACCCCAGACGCGGTGGTGTCAACTTACAGGCTGATGTGAGCGGACGCGGCTTTGCGGTGGAAGCGATATTTCACACGAACTGTCGCTCGTGATGCCACTTGACTCATACTACTGAGTTGAATAACGACGTAGTTCTCGGTGCCATGTACAATTAAGGCTATTGCAAATATTGAATTATTTATAAGGTCGCTGACAACTTAAATAGACATTTTTAATACACTACTACATTTATAATACTACATATTTAATACATAAATTTTCCTAGATAATTTATGTTATAAAAATGTAACATTAGGTAATTCTCTTTCAACTCTGCAATTAACAAATACAGTAGGTAGTTAAAATAATCATCAAAATACGTTTAGTTTTGGTGAAGATAAAATGTAGTAGATTAGGTATCCACTTCATTTAATAAGTTTATCCTTGCTCTATCAAGTAGGTACCTAACTAGGTATGCAAAATGACATTACTATTTTACACTCTTGATGCTCTCGCCAGTAACCAATAGTGCCTACCTACATATTGGTCACTAGGAAAATAAAACAAATCACCATAAAAAACCTGTCATAATCGGTTTGTTTAGAAAATAAGATGCCACAAACAGACACTTCGGTAGTTATCAAAAGTATCTACATCTACTAGACAGTTCTGGTGTAGTGTAGTGTGGGTATGTATAGCATATACTCGTATACATAGATAAATATATCTGACTCCATTTATCACGAGCCTTTTCGAATGACTCGAATACATGTTTGTGATACCTAATATTACAGTAGAAACATAATTATGATGTCTAAAGGCCAGTAAAAACACTTGGTTAAGGCGTAAAATTGAGCATGTTATCCCACACCGCCCCTGTAATTAATATCTTATGTGTTTCACAAAAAGTGTGTCAGTCAATGCGAATATTGTGTTCTTTGCTGTTGAAGGGACCGATCGGGGCGCGGTAGGGGCGGGCGTAGCTTGTGAAATGCGAGCTGCCGCCTGCGCACGCGCCTCTTGCCTCATTTGCACTCAATCTTAATATCGCAGCTCAACATGCATCATTAATAAATAATAATGATATTTTAGACTCGACTTTGTTCTAGGGAAGTTTGAAGTTGGGGAATTTGCCTATACGCTCTACTTTCAAATTTAGAGTAGGAAGGTCCCAACCGCAATCAAATATTATCACCTGCCTGATATTGTTTGGGTGTGGTTTAGGAAACAGAATTGTTTTTCAAATAGACAGGATACTAAGATACTAGTGGACTAGTACATATTTAGCTTTTCAGCTTCTGTCTTATCTATTCTTACAATAAAACTATACTATGTATTATTCATCGTTTTTTCTTTTCAGTTCCGTCTTACCTAGCTTCATAGTGTTGAGAACACTGTTGGTAGATACTTGTAAAGCCGATCAATAGAACCATTGTTAATGGTTATACCTGACGACTTTGACACTGGGTGTTCGTTAACCTAAAGTCATCTTCCTCCTATCATATTCCACTGATGCATCGCTAGGAAACATCATTAGTACTAGATATACTCAACACTACTTCATCAGCATTGACAAAAAATGGTACCTATCTATGTTTGGAGATGGAGGATGGAGATGGTTTTTGTTAGGAACACTGTACTTAATAAAAACTTTTATAGAATACTTAGGTACATGGAAAATATTTCATTTAGTAAACAAAAACCAAAAAGTAACCAAAAAGGTAATAGGTACGGAATCTATATACTTGGTGCGATTTTGTCTATATTTTCGTCTGTCGGTCGGTAAAAGCACAATACTCTACGTAATATTACTTGCCTAGTATCTATATAACACCATTGATTCTTAAACACTGCGAAATGCTAGTTATGTGGTTACATGTAACTTCTATAATAATCTGTACGTTTTTCAGTTACCGATACATCTTTTACTTTTCTTTTACTTATAATAATTGGAAAACAGGACACACAGTGCGATCTAATCCAAACTAAACAGAGCTTATATTACCATGCATTTTAAACAACTGATAGAAGTAGGTACTTAAATATGTTTGAATGTATTTAAAACACAACCAAAAAATTTATACCTAGGTACAAATGTTTTGTCATCCCCAGACCAATTCCAACAATTATATTCATGTTTGTATCGTATGAAAATCGAACTCACGCAAATAAGGAAAACGGAGACCAAAGAGACCGTCATAAGTAACTATAGGTAGGTAGGTATATGAATCGTATAGTAAACCATTAGACAACAATTAGCTATTCTTTCAGTTACGTAATTATCTAATAAACCTAAATGTGAATTAAGCTCGTTAATTGAGAAAATGCGATAAGATAAGGGTAGAACAAGTGTGCATTGTGAGCCGGGCGGGCGGCGCACGACCGGCGGAAATTGTCGGGCGAGTAGGGGTCGCGGTATCTCATGCGGTGAGGGCACAGCTAACTCAGAGAGAATGGATTCCAAGAATGTCGACGGATCGTGCTAATTAAGTTCTTATAAATTTATTACTTCGTATAAATCTTTCTGATACGAGACAAGTATTTAGAACTTTAGACGATTGCGATTGCCAACTTTTTTGCTATTATTATTGGAACTTGGATGTATGGAGGTCTTTGGTCAGCACAAGTAAAGCTATTATAAAATGGCAAATGATCAAGTAATTTTAAAACACATGAAATTTCTATTGACGTGCCTTAGGAGAGGCAGTGGCAGGCCGGCAGTGGACTGCAGTGGGCTGATTTTGATGATGACGAAATTTATTTTTTATAACGAAATTTTCATTCGAAAATATGTTACACAGCTTCATTTAGACTTAAAATGCATAATTTTTCGTTTGAATAAAGCTAGCGTCGTGTCTCATTGTTCCTTTTCATTATAATTTATGTAACTTTAGTGAATATGTATGTAAATACTTTAGTAACTACTGTGTCCCTAATATATAATATTATAAATGTGAAAGTATTGCACGATAGTCTGTCTGTTTGTTAGCTTTTCACTAAACGGTAGCATATGTATGCTCTGTTTAACAATTTTGACGTGTAGGTAGATAACGAGGGTGGACGTAGGGTATCTTTTATCTCAAAAAGCAGATGAAGTCCTGGGTAATACAACAGCTTGTTAGTTTATCTATGTACCAAAATATGTAGATATGTTTTTTCATTCGAATGCGCCCAGTAGTTTTTGTGTGAATGAATTACAAATATCCATCTATCTTAACAATTTTTCACATTTATTTTATTAGCAGGATTATAATTACATAATTACCGTAATGACAGACGTTGGGTAATCTACTGAGATTATCATATGGCACAGTGTTCATTTTGCCAAACAATTGACTCTTCATCATATATAAATATGAGAATTATGTAGAAACAGAGGCCCTGTATTAAATCTGCAAAAAAACGGGAGTTGTCATTCACTGAGAGTATTTTACTCCTAGTCGTTATTAAATTGTTTACATTGAAACTGTATTACAGTGAGCATGATACTTACTCGCTACGGTGACATCGAATTGTTAGGTATTTTTCTAAAGCCTCAGGTACATTATGATTTGACACTGATACAAGTAGCGTATCGTGGGGAGTGCAGAGGTCGCTATAGCCGTACGTGGCACAGTGTTACGTGTCATAACGCCGACCACGGCAATGAACCTGTCCCGCCTAGACTACGCCACCAAGAAACATGACATTATCGACTACATCATGACTAAACGCAGCCTGAGATAGGGAGTAGTAATACAACTGGAGACGAGTCATAACGCAAATTTTAAAGCTTTTGGGGCTTGGATACACACTAATATGCTATCCAACATCGTAGTAGGTATAACAATACATTGTGGAAGACTGCAAGCAACAGTGTCGTAAACATTGCAATAGATTATTTTTAAATAATAAAGATAATCTATTTCAATGTTTACGGCTGTTATATGTAGTCTGTAAACTATATATTATATGGGCCATCAAATTGCTAGAAATAAATAAAAATAATAGTATTATTTTTTAAACTATTAAAAAATATGAAATTTGTCATTAGGTAGGCACTTTATCAGATACAAGCAACATAGTTATAGTTCTTATGTATGGTGACCACTCTGACTTAGGAAATCTTGTGATATGTATTTTAATATAATGAAAGTAGGAAGGCGGATAATTAACTTTAGGTTTTTTTTTTCTATAAAATACAACAGTGTTTAATCAACAATGCGTTTATTCGGTAGGTTTCAATATAATATTAATTTCTATTTACAACTTAACTATAAACTAAAGAATTTTTTAAAGTAATATCAAGTAGATAATGTTATAATTATAATCTTAATATTATTTAATCACAATAATAACTTATTGGTTACAACTTATGTAACTAATGATTCATAATAATGTTATATTCTTAATTAACTTTGGAACACGAGGAATTAAAAAAAATAACTTTTAGTAAGTATTTTATCCATAAAACTAAAATCATTAACACGTGTAGGCCGTAGACACAACACTGATTTGCTTGTTGACATTTAAATACCATTAAATCATTTGGAAAGATGAGATAATATTTTAATTTTAGATTATCACTGATAAGTTGTCCAAGTATTTAATTCTAGTAAAACTAAATAATAAAATACATTGAGGTCTGTAGGTTCACATAGTTGTTAATTGGGTATAGATGCTTCAGAAATTAGTCAATGAGACAATATTGAGAATTCCTAACCTTTTAAACATCACCTTAATTGTACTCCTTAAAATTACATACATTGAAAGATATCAGGACAAAAGGTATACTTGATCTAAAGTAAAAGGTTCAAAATAATTGAGAAAACAAGGGATCTGAGTTTAATTGTCATTAGTAGATTATTGTAGGTAAAATCCCGTGTGAACACTGGCATTATATATTTCCCCTAGAGATTCGTATTATATAGTAAGTAGGTATCGTAGATATTACATTTATAGAAATATTATGAAGAATAATTTAAAGAAATAGTTTCATAATTATATAAAGTTTGCGTACCTATGTTTGTTTGTGATTAAACGCACGTGTGCCATCATGGCGGTATAAAATTATTTATTTACATGATAGTCATCTGACCTATTTTAACATAAAAAAGTCATATGGCGATAAAGTTCCGATGAATTTTATCTAACCCTATACATCGTTAACTCTGAACAATTCCGGCATATATAATACAATGTATTACGGATGTCCCGTGTAGTTTTGCCAGTCAGGGCATGGTGGATGCAGATGTGATGGTACATAGAGGGGAGGTTGGTGATGTGTGAGTCCATGACTCGCAAATCTGGGTTGAAGTTCGTGGTAGTTAGGCACCGGACCTGGTTTCAGGTACTGGTCTAATTCGGCGCCGTCAGGCGGTCCGTCGGCCAGCAGATCACGCGAAATATCTGGCAATCCAGCAAAATCAATATGTTCTCTCTCCGGAGAATGTTCCCGTTTAAGCCTTGTGCTGGATGTAGGTGGTGCCTTCCGCCTTCTGGGTTGGTACTTGTAGTCAGGATGTTCTCTCTTATGTTGAGTGCGGAGCTTATCGGCTTCTTTGACGAACGGTAATTTCTGATCATCAGATAGACTCCTGTAAGTGAAAAAATGCAAAAAAACATTATTGGTTTACGATTACGATCTTAAAATTAGTAGTAGCAAAAGGATGTAAAGTCAGAATAGTTTTCTACTGGCAACATATAGGTACATGGACATTTGAACACAATGTCATTGTTACTACAAGTTTATCAATTTCCACAAAGCTAGCTGTGAGTTTCTTTTGTATTCGAACTATAAGAAAAAGAAACGAAAAAGTTCGAAATCATAACAAAAATAATTTTAATGACGTTTCGTCTGGGACCAGGTTTGTTTTGATTGTATCGCCACATTTATTTCCAGTACAGCCGTGTTAAAAGGCCAAGACCCATTTAACTCGTTCCGAAAATATTAAATAATATAATACATTTATATTTAAACCCATACATATATTAACTGTTCGATTGTCCGTCGGTTTGATTGTTGTTAATTTGTCAGCAGCAGAATCACAAGAACAGACATAGCCTACATAGAGAATTTATTGAATTGGCAACGCCGTGTGATACAAATTATGGAGCCATATTCTTTTAATCTCTTATGCTTATGTTTTTTACACTCTTACTCATACAAATCACAGACAATTTTTACTATATTATCCTACACAATTTATATTACTTTGGATGAATAAATAAATAATAGTACCTACTTGCTACAATGTTAAAAGATAAAATAATATGACCCAACTTTAGTCCGTAGAGTAGAAAAATAGAAATATTTCCAAGATGTGCGGTGCAGTGACCGTAAACACAGACGTCTGGTTGGATCTTAGTCATAGATATAATTAGTCCTCTTTTAGATAATTTATACGCGAATGTGATCTGTGACAAGAAATATGTTAGATCTTCAGTTAGTTTAGTTTATTTTTTTATCATCATATTTTTCTTCGGTTTTGATTTCAGATATGAACCTATCGTAAATTAAATGAATGTTAGCTAGTGTTCAAGGTACACTCTGCAATGTAGACCTCTGTGATAAGGCAGTGAGCGGCAACATAATAGCAATCAAGCTCTCTTCACTGACTTATTTTCTTTGATGATTCGAGAGTTTGCCCGTCATTCTTGTGTCATAATCATAAGCACTAGCGGGTGCGCGGGTGGTCATGAAATACTGTCACAATTTTTGAGCGTTGTGCCAGAGTATCCGTAGGTTAGTATCTAGTTATAAAATGAGCTTAGGTAATTATATTTGAAACACATAATTAAAAAAAAAACTTTTACTCGAATAAAAATAGCAAGAGCGGCAAGATGTCGAATCACTAAACTTAAAGAACAGGTATTTTGGAAATAAAGATAAAAGAGAGAAGCATAAGATTGGAATGGATCAAAGAATTGTTATCTGTTATTTCGGCTATTGAAGTTGAGTATGTGGTGTAAATAAAACCAACAAAAGAAACAAACAGAGTCAGATGCCCGCGGACAGGAAGAATATTAAATATCGAATTTTAGTCTTGTCTATATGTACTCGTGAAGTAATATTAATTTAAAGCTATTACAAATGTAATAGCTTCTAAATCTTAGTTCAATAATAAGTTATTATTTCCCTACAATGTGCAATACAATAGAATTCATATATAATTCATTCCTTTTGTCCTTTTATAATAAATCTTCATGATATGTTGTGTCATATTATATCCCATAGACTATATTTGTAGTATTCCGTCTCTAAGCGGATGGACGATTAATCTATTACGTATATAGGTAAGTATAAAAGTGTAAGTAGGCTCTTAATATAGTAGCTACTTATAATAGCTACCTACTTATTTAGTGTGTTTGTGGATATGTATAAATTATCGGGTATTTATATTGGGTTTTTTTCTTATAATTTACTGACCTGAATATGGGATTCGATTTTAGTCATCGATGGTTTTGTAGATATCATGTTATTTGGTTCTATAATTTTCTATTCGAGTAGATTTCAAATTGGTTTTGAGACAGTTAGAGATGTTATCGTTCCAGTTAGCGGCGATAGCATTTTAATGAGTAAACAATCGATGCACGCCGCGCCGCTGGACGCCGCACGCGCTGTCTTCAGACCGCCCCCCCCCCCCTATGCCTCCCTTCTACCCTATCAAAGGCCCCCGCATGTTACTTTCAACTTTCATGACCCTCTCGAGCAATGGCGTCAGGGGCTTTAGAAATGATCTATCTCATGACATTACAGAAAGATTTGCTTATTTTATTCGGCAATATTTCTATTTTGATCCCCAGTCACATATGACATGTATGTATGGTTTTTAGTACACTCCATAGTAAAAGTATTTTATAAAAAATAGGTATGTAAATACAAATGTAGCTTGAACTCTATTTTCTGCATTCAGCCAAAGGTATCAGCAGCAGTATATTTACAGACGTATAAAAAAAGAATCGAAACAATTTTTTTACTACAGCATTCATTAACAATGAAAGTCTGATATTTGGGAAAGAATTTATTATCGTTGTCAGCAATCTCATAATATATTTGAGGATTACAAGGAACTCTCTCTATGCGCTATCTGGTGGAATAATGGAAACATCACAAAGTATACTCTAACTACAAGATTACGTTAATTATTATTATAGTCTTGATGCATTCGATATGAATTTATAGGTACTAGTATGCTCGTTCCAGCCATTTCATCTTTCAGTCTAACAGTTTTCTTCTTTTATTTCACAAAATGGCAGATAAGAAAAAAATTTGTCGTTTAATGTGTATTTTTAGTACATGAAAAATATATAATTATCTAAACTTTCCCTTCAATACTGTTATGTCACGTCCTCTGATATAACTAAAGGTTGATTTAAACATGTCGGCTATATGCCGTCTTTTTCCATTCGCGTTGCCTTTCCAGGTTGATACTGTGACACAAGGTTCACAAATTAAATTATATTAATTGTATAATTATAATAATAAAGTCGTTACAAAGTACGTAGTAGTTAACAGTTAACGTTAACTGTCGACCCCCCCCCCCCCCCCCCGACTTCTTTTTTATCTGTGTATAAATTTTATATTTGTACTTATATTTAGTTTTAGTTAAGACTTACTTCCACATGGTGCCAAGAGATTTGCTGAGCTCAGCGTTGTGTAGTGAAGGTCGTTGTTCAGAAAGGCGCCTGCGCATCGCCTGAGCGAACACCATAAAGGCATTCATCGGCCGTTTCACGTGTGCCCGACGCATGCAACCACCACCTCTGTAGATAAAATAAGAAAAACACCTTTTATTAACCTTTCCTTTACCAGTTATAAGTCTGAGGGAAGTTTATAATAGGCTATGATTAACTTATGAAATGTTCAGTTCTAAATTAATATTCATAGAATAAAATACTTTTTTTTATATGAAATTAGAGTTAAAAAATTATGTGGTAAAACATGGCAACGGTGAAACTTAGGTTAAATTAAGTATTTATTAAAATTTTAAGAAATTTCGATTCGTTTATGGATATTAAATGTATATTGGACTCGCATTGGTGCATGTGTATAATTATATTAGGAAAATGTTTATTTAATTTGTTCATTACACCGAAAGGTTATGAGTACAAAGTTATAAATAGTTGGAGCTTAGAAATTGAAATCCAACAAAAAACAAATGTTGACACAAGCAATACGAAATGCGCACTTGAACGAGCGCATACATATACACTCAAATTGGTTTAGCTTTCGGCGCGCGCCCGATAATTACTAGGTAACCAAAGCTATCAAGCGACGACTATAAAGAAAATAAATTACGAGTAACCCTTTATGTACGGGGCTACGGGCGCTGTAAACAGTGGTCCGATGGCGCATGTAAGTTTTGTATACAGCTAAACTGGCGTGGCCTCACGTCATTTTACGCTCGTAAACATCTCTTATTTTATTACTTTTTTATTTTCTAACGCCGCATTCGAGTTTCCTTGCGATGCTGAATGCTGACAATAAATTATGCTTTTTTGAACACTGACACGCCACTAAAAGTCGATCGATTTCTAACGGATTACTCTCGGGAAGCAATATGAGCAGGAATAATTACTTAGCTTCGGCGAACTAGAATCGGTTTCCTTGTTTATTAGAACGAGTTCTCGTAACTAAACAACGTTTAGAAATTTATTATGCCACGCCAGCAAAGTGTTATAAAATATTATTTTCTATTTCATATCATGACGTAATATTAATTAGTGGAACAATGAATAGTAAAATATTTTTGTAGTAAAATAGGCACTCGATAAAAGTTTTAAAGCAATGTAAGTCGTAAGTTTGAACTAGACTAGTTTTTATGGAGCAGAAGACCTACCGCGTGCCGGCCATATGGTTAGTAACATCTTGTTCTCTGACAATCACAGATAGTGAATAGGTACTTGTGCACTTCAATAGCAACATGTGAGTATTGTACTTAGGTCGATTGTAATTCACAGAGCTCACAATTAATTAGAACTGAACATATATATGGTAATGTTAATTATGTACAGCTTTTAAATGTATTAAGATTTAAACAGTTTTATATTCAGAATATTTTTATACCTACTGTGTAGATTTGACTCTAAAAGTATCATGGCTACGTTGGCATTCCCTTAGATATGGTTTAAGAGTTAATACTAATTTAATTTCCTATTTCTTTCGAGGTACCTACGCAGAGAGAATCGAGAGTTACTAATATATACCTGTGTATTAAATAAAACATTTGTATTTCAGCGATACTCAGTTGATTAGTCAGGAATACATTTTATGCAATAATTTACAAATAATTCTGAACAACGTCAGAATTATTTGTAAATTATTTGGAAACCTAGTATTAAATCTAATTATGTATGATTACCGTTTCCATAGAGTTGCACGTTACTATCTAATGATAATATACACCTTTTATTTTGAAATAAATTCTTTTTAATAATATGTCAATAACTAATTATTAAAATATTTAATGTATCTATGTATTTAGTTATAAAAAGAGAATTTATGTATATAAAATTTCTTTTTATATTGACAATATATTGCACTGATACGTATGCGTCTGTTATGCATTTTATTAAGTTAATCGTGTTTACTCTTGACACAAAAATTCAATGAGGGTGTTGTTTTTAAACATTCTAAATACAGGATAATCTTTGGAAATCTGTAACATTTAATAAATCTAGGAATAGTCCCACATAATTCCTATTTAGTATATTACGTTCTGTGTATAGTTTCTAAACCTATTACCAAACCTTTATTTTACTAGAAAAATGGTTTATAGCCACGACGCCACAGTGATTTATTACTGAGGATTGGACACAGTCATTAAAATCTCCTGCCATATGTAAGTACCTAGTTGCTTACATCTTTTAACATAATATATGTAAGTACTTATAATTATATAGAGAAAGAGGAAATAAGGACTACGTACTGCGTTCAGATCTAGAAATGCTAGAGTACGTGCCTCCTAATATTGTATGTGTAGATCAGGTCCACGTGATGTCTTCTGGAACCTCTCCTGCTTTTTTTTCATATCTCTTAGATATTATGAGGTCAAGCTGGACCACCATTCAATTATTCATTTTAACCTGTTATCATTATACCTAGAGTCTAACAATAAATCTATAGGCAGGCTTGATGTACTGTACTGGCTAATCAGAAATGTATTATATATTCAAAATTTGAACATATTTAAATTTATAGTTCTTAATACCTTCTTGTTAATACTTTAATGTTTTGACAATCGTTTCTAATATATATTTCCGATTTCCAAGTCTTTTTTTATATTTTCTTTTAACCTATATAAAATAAATATACAACATCACTTAATTAGGTAATAATAAATATTGTTAATATATAGATAAGTATTGGTACTTCACAAACAAATCAATTTTTGATTGCGTATTTGAAGTGTTACTATTTAAGTGGGTAGGTATACATTTAATAATATTTACGTTCGTTCTTGAAATATCGAAAAAACTTACAGACGGCACGTGTGCAACATGGTAGTCTAATAAAAAATACTCCACATAAGATTTTGATTGGGATCAAATTTTGTTTTTGTAGGTCATTAGTATATCATGATTCAGATTTATTTTTATATCAATTAGTACAGACGCAATAGATTTTCTGAAGCAGTTATAGGCACATAATGAAATTGTGAAGTACCAACTTTTGTCACTGTTAACATTATTGTAAGTATTCTATACAATAAAAATATATTAAAATATAAAAGGCAACAAATAATAAAACAATGACATATAACAAAGATTTCTACATTTTTGCAAATAAAAACATTAAAATTGAAAGAAAAAAGTCAAATATTGATTATTATAGAAAATAGACGAAGGAAAATGTTCAGACACTTGATACAGCACGATGATTTAATGAAAATTATTATTGAGGGAAAAATAGAAGGAAGGAGAGAGAGGAGAAGACCAAGGCACAGCTATATCAAGCAAATTCTTTAATTTGCTTGCAGTTGGAGTCGTGTTGTATCAACATTTAAAGAGCATGATGGAAGATTGTGAAAATTGGTAAGGGCTCTAACGACTAGAGCGTGGCTGTTACATTATATGAATGAACGAATAAACTCAACTAAGCAACTCTTACTTATGGACAATCTACCTTCCTATACCTACAAAAATATATTTTATTACTCTCAGTCCGGAATGGCGCCTAACTACAGGCCAGTCGAAACAAGTTTAAAATAAACATATTATCATACTATATGGAATTGTGGCTTGACAGTTTTAAAACGTGTTATTTCACCAAATGTTAAATTATTATGAAAAAAATGGGGCCCGTGTCACGTAGCCGAATATTTTAAAGTGATTAGTTAGTAAGTCGTAAGTACCTACGTTGTTATAATCTGAGCCATTGTTTAGAATAGTTTGGCAGTGTAATGTTCTTATGTATTAGACGCGATATAATTCTATGCGGTAGTTAGGTACATACATATAGTCTTTTATTATATGAGGCACGTGGCGTATATTATTATAAACAACTGTGAACAAAAGAAATTAATTGATTCTGAATATTTTTCGTGTTACGTTAGTTATTGTTATTTTATCATTCTTAAATTAGGACTAGATTACTGAGAATAACAGACGAGTACTTTTCTTTACTTTTACTCTAATAATATCATTTTTGATGTTTTCTATATTAATATTGTAATGTGTTGATGTATTTGTTTGTCCTGTGATAATAAGAGATCGTCGCTTGCAGTTGCGCATATGTAAATATGCTTATAATATAACATTTTTTTTATATACCTTGAAAATTTTTGACGTTTCTTGTGTATTCTTTGCACTGCTGATTTTAAGCGTCTAAGAGTGCACCGATTGTGATGGTGTTTTTGTTTCTAAACAGATGAGATCGAGATGGTTTCTAGAAATAATATATTAGGATACTTTGTATTAGGAATTATTTTAAAATAATTGTAGGTAATTATAGTATAGGTAACGTTTACTTAACATCATATGCATTCCTTGTTATTGAAGGATGTATGTATACTACAAAGAAGTTATTCGTAGGTAATAAGGTGACATGTTGCTTAGATAAGCACTTAGAGCGGGTGAGGCCAATGGCTGAGGAAGTCATAAACGGAGTATCTACTCCGTAGCTGTCATCTGTGACGAGCCCGCCCACGCTATTTCTGCCTGTTAGTGGCCCCGTGCAGCCGCCCAGTGTACTTACTACTACATAAATTTGCCAACGGAACATAACGTTGGACAGTTTGTTGTAACTAAAATGAAGTTTTGATGTCGATGATCTACCTAGAAGCTGCCAAGTATCGTAACGTTGATGTGTATCTAAAATCTAAATTATTCATTGGTGTAATTTACTTAAATTTATTATATGTAATAAAATAGGCAAAAAATAATATTTAGTAGTAGTTAAGGGCACCTTGGTATGCCCTTAACTGGCCCATGGTCTACATACTAGTCCAGGTAAATTAAATAGTTTTTTTTACTAAGAAGCAAGGTACATTTAAAATATTCATACTAAGTAATCGCGTGACTGTATTATATACCTATATATATATTTACTAGCTAGGCCCGAAAACGTTGTTTTGCCATATAAATTAAAATTGCTATTAAAAAATAAGGGTTGGTGATAATTTAGGGTTCTTTGTATTTTAATGGTATATTATTATATAAATTTTTTTAAATTGGCAAAAATATAAGAGATGAACCCATATCATTTAGGCGTATGAAAAATATAATAGATTGTAGCCAATTCCCAGATCTACTGAATATGCATA